CATGAAGAAGGTTAAAGAACTCATTAGTGTCATCTCGCTATGAGTTCTTTTTCCTTCCTTCAAAGACTCTGACACTGTTAATAGCGACGATACATACACATTCCGTCGTTTTCATTGGAAACAAAATTGGTATCCCTGTTACACTTCCTCGCTGGAAACCTCTGACATGTTTGTTAACATTTTCCTCCTCTCAGTGAAATACACCCAAAAAGTTTCCAATCAACCAATAAAACAATAGATATTTATAGGTATACTAATAGAGAATAAGAGATTTACTGATTTAAACTAAGCAAGAACTTCAAAATTCCAACTTGAATGTGGGATAATCAAAGAGAGGCAAAGAGAACTATAGGAGGACACAAACAAAGTAATAATGTATGGCCATCTGACCACGGTACACGTGGTTCATAGAGAAAGAAAGGAGTACACATGTTTATCAACCTACTGTACATGTCTCTCTAATGTAGAGGAGCAAGTACCAATTTACCCCTAAATCAATTCACAAATGCTAGACAACTTTAAGTACAATTTAAGTTGCTTTCCGTACAAACACATATTGCAGTGTTCGTCCTCTCTAACTCTCATTTCTAAATATTGGTAAAATAATATAATATATATAGATTCTTGCATTTTAACATTCAAATTTCTTACTTTTGTCTAATTTAATATCTAGTTCATTTATTTGTATTTCTTTGGCTTGGTCGAAAAAAGAGGGGGTTGATTTGACCTAATTTATTTGTGTTTGATTTTGATTTTACAAATTCAACTTCGTTTGTACCCACACAATTCTTTTGGCGAACACTAAAGGTTGCGTTTAGATATGATTTGAAATTAGAATGATTTAAAGTAACAAGTTAATTTGTTTTTTTTTTTTTTGAAATAGAAGTAACAAGTTAATTTGTTTAGACGTGTAATTTGAATTTCTTAAATTGTACATTTTTCGTATAACATAAAAATTCCACAAGTCATAAGAACTATTAAGGGTGTGTTTGGTATGAAGGAAAACATTTTCCAGAAAATGTTTTCCAATTTTCTCATGTTTGGTTGGGTTAAATGTTTTGGAAAATGTTTTCCAAATCAACTCATTTTCCTCAAATTCAAGGAAAATGACTTCCCTTCAAAACTAAAGGAAAACATTTTCCAAACCTCTCTTCCAACTTCAAATTACAATTACTTTTTTGTTGAAAAAATCAATTTATTTTGTCCCTACTCTCAAAACAGCCCCCCAACCACTCCCCAAAAAATAATAATTTTAAAGCTTATTTTTAATAAGTAAAATCCCGATCATAGATCACCCACTCCCCTCCCCGGCCAGCCCCCCTGCTCCCCCCACCCCACCCCCCCCCCCCCCCCCCAAAAAAAAATTGAGTTTGTTTTTAAGAAATATTTTCAACTTCAAAATTTCATTTTTTCACCATACCCTTGACACCCCCACCTGCCCACTCCTACCAGCCCCCCCCCCCCTTCCCAAAAAAAAATAATTTAAATTTGTTTTTAAAAAATATTTTCAATTTCAAAATTTCATTTTTTTCACCCCTACCCTCGACCCCCACGCACCCACCCCCTACCAGCCCCCCACCCCCAACCCAAAAAAATAATTTTAAGTTTGTTTTTAAAAAATATTTTCAATTTCAAAATTTCATTTTTTTCACCCCTACCCTCGACCCCCCACGCACCCACCCCCTACCAGCCCCCCACCCCCCAACCCAAAAAAATAATTTTAAGTTTGTTTTTAAAAAATATTTTCAATTTCAAAATTTCATTTTTTTACCCCTATCCTCGACCCCCCACCCACCCACCCCCTACCAGCCCCCACCCCCAAAAAATAATTTTTAAGTTTGTTTTTCAAAAATATTTTCAATTTCACAATTTAATTTTTTTCACCCCTACCCACCCCCCCGGCACCCCACCCACCCCCTACCAGCACCCCCCCCACCCCCAAAATAAATAAATTTAAGTTCGTTTTTAAAAAATACTTTCAACTTCAAAATTTTATTTTTTCACCCCAACCCTCGACCCCACCCCCTACCAGCCCCTACCCCCAAAAAAAATTTAAGTTTATTTTAAAAAAATATTTTCAATTTCAAAAAATATTTTCTACTCTAGTTAAAATAAAAGATATTTCTCAAAAATATTTTTCATTCATAAGTCAAACACTAAAAAAAATTTCCGGAAAATATTTTCTACTCACCAACCAAACATGAGAAAATAAGTCAAAAATCAACTTGTTTTCCAGGAAAACATTTTCTAGGAAAACATTTTCCTTCATACCAAACACACCCTAAATTTCTTCAATTCTTATACATCTATCAAATGAGCAAATTATAGTTCAAAAAAAAATTAAAATATCCTAAGACGTCACATTGATAAATTACAGATTTTGATGTTACTTTTATAAATAAGTATTTGCTATTATAAAACTTTCAAATACACAGTTATTTTTAAAGATTCACTAATCAACAATAATAGTAATGACCTACTCTTTAATATAATTCCTCACATAAATTAATTTCTTTACGTTGAACATAAGTATTTATTTTTAAAATTTAAAAATGATGAGTCTTTTTTTAAAAAAATAAAAAAATAAAAGTATTATTAGTGTAGCTATACGCCTAGGGGTCGTTTGGTTAGAAACAAATTATCTCGAAATTATTAATTCCTAGATAAGTTACTTCATCATGTATTTGAGATAACTTATCTCATTACTAGAATATAAATAGTCGAATAAATAATTTCAGAACTGCCTAATACTCAATTCAAAAGTAGGACAAAAGAATCCTACATCTTATCAGTGAAATTATTATATTTTATATCAAATGCTCTCGAATACTTACTAATCAAAATTTTATACTTAAAAAAGAAATAAAATCATAAATCAAATGATAATTCTGTTTTTTTTAAGAATTTAAAATTATAATCACAAATCGCATATCCAAATTGTTGCATAAACTGGGAGGTGGACAATTATCCAGGTCATAGTGTTCATCTACTCTAATTTAAGGTCCACATACATCTGACTTGACAATCAAGTCTCAACTGACAATAGGTATATAGTATTTATTATAGGTAAGAATATACTAATTAATGATTTTTTTTTTTCAGTTCTCAATAATTCATTATCTTAATATTTTTCAGAAAGCTAGCATGGTTATAATTACGTCACCAGATCACTATTTGATTTATTGTTTAATTAATCCTAGGCCATTTTGTAATTACATTCTTCTAACTTCTCAAATTTATATAATAAGAGGTGCAGTCAGCATTTTTATTAAAAAATTTAAATTTGGGGGAAAATTATAATATGTTATCGAATTTTGATAAAAGACTTATTTGGGTCAATATTCGTTAAAAGTTTAGTTCATTTATATTATTTTTCGTTTGAAAAAAGGTTCATACATGCTTATTTAATTGTTAACGGAAAAAAGTTTTAAATTTACAAAATTATTTTTTACACGTAATCAATTATGATTTGTCCACATCATTAATTTAATTATTTTTAAAAAAATGCTCAAATATGTTATCATATTAAACTTTGCGAAAATGCTCATATATGTCATCCGTTAAAAAATTGATTCATCTATCTATGTTATTTAAGTCAACAAATAATGACATGAATAGGCTTTTTCTCAAATAAAAATGACATATATATGAGCCAAATTTTTAACGAATGACATAAATGAGTTTTTCTCAAAATTTATAGACATATTTGAATCTTTTCCGCTTAAAATATGAAGAATAAATATATGAAAAACTAAAGAAATTTAATAAAAGATAATAATTTTAATTTAATCATAATTAAATAATAAAATTTAATATCAAAGAAATTCAGATGAAATCTGTAGACCTTTGGATTACAATAATTCGTTCACCATAGTGTAGCGGTACAACTTAGTTTGATGAAAGTCAAATGGTTATAAAAAAATAAAAAACATAAAAAAATAATTGCCGGTTGGCACCTCCACTACCTTGGAGATGCAACTTTAGTATCAACTGCCTAAGCAGAAAAATAGGAAAATTATTTATTATTTATTTTGTGTAAAAAAATATATTCTTTAATTTGAGATATTTAAAATTTATAAGATTAAAAAATATTTTGTCTGATTTAAAACTGTTCTTAATGTTCTTTTCTATTATGTAGTAAAATATATCCTATTACGATAGTGTATTAAGGTGTTTCTCGCCATTTATTGAAATGACGTTATATATGTTTGTTTGTTTTTTACTTTTTTTTAAAAAACTTGTGTTTGAATTATCATGGACAAACAAATGGGAACGAAGTTATCGGCAAGTTTATGAAGTATCGAAAATATTATTGGTTTCATCATGAAATTTTTGATAGTTTTTTTAAAAAAAATTACTTGATTAATTAAACTTATATACATATTTGATCTTTCAAATCAATAATATACCCTCTTAAATTCTCGTTATGTTTAGGGATATTCTCAACACTTTTTTCATTTTTTAATTAAGATTATCATATTTTTATAAGAATTTAAGACCACTTATTATGTTACATGACTATATTGAAATTTAATTATCACATACAGATAGAATAAGTATGAGGAGTAAGGATGAGGTGGGGTCTTTCTGACAAGTTAGCGGTGGGGAGGAGTGATCCAATGCAGTTTTCTTTAAATCAACAAGTGTTTCCCGATAAAATTTTATTCACATCCAACGAGTAATGCCAAAAAGCCCAAAGTAGACAATCTTTTTTTGACTGATTTCAGTGTAAAGTACAATTGCTTTTACTCTGCTTCTTATTTCTCTTATTCTATCTATTGATCTCTGAAACAAACTCAACTGACCCTTTTCAGATATCCAACTCAAAATTTTGCATTTCAAAGAATTGTTGATCTTGTGAAAATTCTTGTTGCTTTCTGCTGATGGTTAATGGAATATGCTTAATTGTTGTTTTTCAATTTTTACAAAATTCATCTTGACTATCAAGGGTCTGATAATCAGAATACTTTGAAACATAAAAAAGACAAAAAAAATAAAAAATGGCTATGGCAGCAACTGTTAAAGTAGTTCTTGGTTCAATTGCCTTTGCTGTATTTTGGGTATTGGCTGTTTTCCCTGCTGTACCTTTCATGCCTATTGGAAGAACTGCAGGTTCTCTCCTTGGAGCTATGCTTATGGTCATTTTTCGAGTCATAACTCCGGATCAAGCATATGCTGCTATTGATCTTCCAATCTTAGGTCTTCTCTTTGGAACTATGGTTGTTAGTGTTTATCTAGAAAGAGCAGATATGTTTAAATACTTAGGTAAATTGCTGGCATGGAAGAGTCAGGGAGCTAAGGATTTGCTCTGTCGAATCTGCTTGATCTCAGCTGTTTCGAGTGCCTTTTTTACCAATGATACGTCTTGCGTTGTATTAACTGAGTTTGTATTGAAAATAGCTAGGCAACAGAATCTACCACCACATCCTTTCCTGTTAGCTCTTGCTTCGAGTGCGAATATTGGATCTTCAGTAACTCCGATTGGGAATCCACAGAACTTAGTTATAGCAGTACAAAGCAAGATATCTTTTGGGAAGTTTTTATTTGGTATTTTTCCTGCAATGCTTGTTGGCGTAGTTGTTAATGCTCTGCTTCTGCTTTGTATGTATTGGAAGTTGTTGTCTGTACAGAAGGATGTAGAGGATGCTGCTGCGGAACTAGTTCCTGAAGAGGAAGTAGTTTCTCATCGGTTTTCTCCAGCCACATTGTCACATCTTAGTTCCTTGAATTCTCAAGAATTAAATCATACCTTAGATTCAATAGCTATTGGCACTTCTCCTAGAGTTAATGGTCACACAAATCATGCTGAGACGCTTAGAAATCGTGTCATTGTTGGAGAAAGTGAAATACAAAAGGCATTTGATTCGTCTAGGAATTCAAATGCCTCAAAAGAAGGAACAAATGATGGATCACTACTGAAAAGAGAGGAGAATGTGTCTTCAAAAAGAGTTTCATCTGTTGATGAATATGAAGATGAAAACTTCACAGCTTATGACGAAATGTGGTACTTTCCAAAAGTATGGAAAAATAAGTTGTGGAAAATATGTGTTTATCTTGTTACCATTGGTATGCTAATAGCTTTGCTAATGGGTCTGAACATGTCTTGGACTGCTATAACTGCAGCACTTGCGCTCGTGGTTCTTGATTTCAAAGATGCCAGGCCTAGCTTAGAAAAGGTAGCAGAATTGTTTTAACAGTAATCTGTTACCATTTGATGTATCTTATTCATTCTGTTCTTTCGATTGTACAGGTTTCGTATTCACTTTTGATATTCTTCTGTGGTATGTTTATCACGGTTGACGGCTTTAACAAAACTGGGATTCCAAGTGCTCTTTGGGATTTTATGGAGCCATATTCCAAGATAGATCATGCTGCAGGCTTAGCAGTTCTTGCACTGGTCATACTGGTCCTGTCAAATGTGGCTTCAAATGTGCCTACTGGTATGTGTCTCCTGCACTTTTTGAGCCCCTTGAACCTAAATCAACTCTGTTTATTTTTACTTCATATGCTTGGATTTCATTTCTTCGCTCATTATATGTTTTACGAGATACAATTGTTGGCTAATGTATGTGTACAAATAAAATATAAAACAAGTAGCTAAAGGGGTTAGGGAGAATGACATTTAATTGTGAAAAAGGTTCTATTGGAATTAAAAACTACCAAGACTAAGAGAAGTGTAAGGAGATGAAGAAACAGAGAAAACTGCATCTTAGTTCCAAACACGATAATCGTGCAATCATGTCTTATATACGTTAAATCTTAATTATAGTTAAAACGTTTATTTGGCCTTAGTATTGCTGCTCGGAGGACGAGTTGCTGCATCAGCAGCTGCAATATCTCCTGAGAGTGAGCAGAAAGCATGGCTCATCTTAGCATGGGTCAGCACCGTGGCAGGGAACCTTTCACTCTTAGGCTCAGCAGCAAACTTAATAGTGTGTGAACAGGCTCGTCGGGCTCAACACTTTGGCTACAATCTCTCCTTCTGGAGTCATCTCAAATTTGGAGTTCCGTCTACGCTTATTGTTACAGCCATTGGTTTGATGCTCATTCGAGGATGACACATTTTTCAGTCGCGTTACTGTGTTTTTGAAGCTTCAAATAGACAACTATCATTCTTGTGCAAGTGTTAGGGACAGTCTGGTACATTAAGTTCCCGCTATGTATGGGGTCTGGAGAAGGGCTAGACCACAAGGGTCTTTTGTACGTAGTCTTATCATGCATTTGTTGTTTCCACAGGTTGAATTTTTGATCTCTTGGTCACATGACAACAACTTTACCAATTCTCTTCAATCATGCAGATCTCATAAATCCAACATCTCTCTCTATATATGTATTATTTTACTGTAATCCAACATGTTAAGGGTTCATAATATTAAAGCTGACAGGTTATTCTTAATGTCAGATTACTTCCTTTATTTGTTTATATATATATATATGATATAATAAGAAACTAATAATCTTTTATTTGTTACCAAAAGAATAGATCTCAATTTCCAAACAAACATTAGTTCCAACCAAAATGTGGCAGTGAGATTATTTAAGGAATCTCATTGCATGTATTTGCTATAGACTCACAAACGCCATTCAATTCGAGTGTGTTTAGTATGAAATATTTTTCGAAAAATGTTTTTAAATATTTTATGTTAGATTGGTCAAAATATTTTGGAAAACGTTCTCTTCAAGAAAACAAGCTCTTTAAAAATGATGAAAATAATGAAAGTAGGAAAAATAAGTTTAATAAGTGACAATTTTTTCATCCACCTAACATCCCCAAATTCTTACCCCTTGATCGTCCCACCCCCACCACTCTTGAATCACCACTCCCTATTTTATCGCCTTCATATATTGTTTTGTTACATTACATATGTAAATATTTTTTGGGTTGATATATTTTTAATTTTTTTTTTCTTACTTACCTAACAATAGAAAATAATTAGAAAATTCATTTATTTTTCTACGAAGACTTAATATAAATATTTTTTTGTCGAGGAGATTTACAATCCTTTTCCATTCACTTGGTTTCGCCCCAAATCAAAATTCAGCCATAACTAAATATAAAGAAGCAAAGAAGAAAAAACATAAATCTTTGACTCTTTGTTGCCTCTTTTACAATTCTTTTCTTTTGAGTGTGAGCAGGATGCAGGGGTGGCTCAACATAATTCGAGGCGTAAAACAAAATTTTAATTAGAAGCCTAAAATCTAAATAAACTTTCTTTGTATTTATTTATTTTTCTAAATTTTTAGATGTAAATTACTACTAAATATCTTTTATATAAATAATTTTTTCAAATACTTTTTTCAATTATTATTTTAGGTAAGATTATATCAATTCAACATTGAAAAACATCCTTTTATTAAGACAATTATTATATGAATTATGAACATATTTCTATAAGTAATAAGTTGATAAACTTTAAAGATAAGAGTTAGAATTATAGAATCTGATTCAAAAAGTTGATAACTTTGTATGCCTACTTTAATATGAAAATTTACGAAGAAATAAAAAAGAATTTGTAATTTACTTTGTTCAACACTTTTCGACTATTGATTCATATTTTTGAGAGTATATTACTCTAACTATCAAAGATTTGAAAAAATGGAGTGCAAAAAAGAGTTAAAAATAATAAATAATGTGAGTGTTAGCGAAAAAATGTAAGAGTTTAAAACAATGTTTTCTTCATTTCTTCTATTTTAATGGAATTAAAATACATAATTTTTTATTTGTAGAAATTTGAGGCCCCCAAAAACGGGGGGCCTAAGGCCAATGCCTTAAATTTTATAAGCAAGAGCCGCCCCTGGGCCAGGATGAAGAAAGAAATTTGGCGAAGAGTGTGTAATTATTTTTTTCAATTGTATTAATATTGTATAAGATCAAATATATATTCATAAAAAATAAGTAACATTTAATATTTATACATCGTATAATTTTTTAACAAAGAATATGCATCGAATCATTCTTTACCTAAGTTTGACTTCGCTCATAGAAGTCATATGTTTGAGCGATATATTATAAGAACAAAATTTAATATAAAAAAGCATCAAATATATAAATATTTTCTCCTTGTAACTTGTAACTGGTATGAGCACATGAACTTAAGTTCATATTATTACTTTTACTACTGTATAAAGAAGTCCGGGTAGGTCATCGTCAATATGATTGCTTCCTAGACAAGAGTAATTTGGTGATTTTGTAGAAGCGACTAGAAGTTTAGTATATTTTTTTAAAATTTTTTTTGTTTTATGTTTCTTTTTTAAATTGTTATATATTTGAAAATTATCTAAATAATACTATAAAATTACAATAATTAACAACTTAAAATATTTTTAAAACGTAGAAAAATTTGGTCCATTCTCAAAATTCTATCGAGTTACATAAAATTGAATAGAAGAAATAACATATATTATTTCAAAATGACGTGAAAAATACTAAAAATCACAAAAATAACAGCTTAAAATATTTAATTGACATAAAAAAATATTTGGTTCACTATCGATTTTTTATCGGTGCCACATAAAATGGGAAAGAAAAAATAACATATATTATTTGAAAATGATGTAAAAAATAGTATAAATAACAATAATTAACAACTTAAAATATGTGAAAGACATAAAAGATTTGGCTAACTCTCGAAATTCTATTAGTGCCACATAAGTTGGGATAAAGAAAGTAACATATATTATTTGAAAATTACATTAAAAATACTATAATTACAATAATTAACAACTTGAAGTATTTAAAAGAAATTTAAAAAATTGGTTAATTTTCAAAATTCTATATGTGTTACATAAATTGGGACAAATTGAGCAATATTATATTATTTGAAAATTATGTAAAAAAATAATATAAGTCACAATAATTAACAACTTTAAACACTTAAAACCATATAAAATTTTGGATGACTCTCCAAATTCCATCAAAAAATTTAGTGAAAAGGGTCAAAAATACCCCTCAACTTTGTTTTATTGGTCAATAAAACAAAATTGAGGGATATTTTTGACCCTTTTCCCTAAATTTTATCAAGGGTGCCTAAGAATAATGGTGTGTGCCTGTCAAAATAAAACCAAAAAATATTATGCTATTTGGGGTGGTTTTGAACTTAGAACTCCATTCAAATGGAATGATTATTACTACTAAGCCAAAGCCCAAAAGCATAGCTTTTTTCAAAGGTATCCAACTTTAAATGTATATCCTTTAGATATAAAATTTGACATATATATATATACAACATAATTTTTCAAATATAGCTACGCCTCTGGTCGCGCTGATAGGGATTCATATATCTAGTAAGTAGTAATTATATAATAGAGCAAACTATTAGCTAGAGATATTCTCTTCTTCTTTTTTACTAAAAATTTTTCTAGACTTACTTTATAAAAATATATGTATTTTAATAAAAATATTTGTTTTAATTATACTTTTAAAAATTAAATTATTTAATTTAAAAGGAACAAATATCTAAGTTAGGTGTTGAGTATTTCGTACAACATTTAGTAAAATTTGGTCATATAAAATCAAATCAAAAGAGGAGAGGGGAAACATTCTCTTATGATTACTAACGAAGAGAATAAATAAAAGACTTTCATTTTTTGGATCTCTTAGTCTAAAAATGAAAGAATTTTATGCGTAAAAACAAAAACAACATCAAACCATAAAAAATGACTTTAATATTAGGATATTTTAGGTTTAAAAATGAAAGAATTTTATGTGCAAAAACAAAAATGACATCAAATAAAAAATAAGTGTGTAAAAGACTATAAAATCAAACCTATGAGAATACTATTACTTCGAATTATGAATAATTAATCTCTTAGGATCATTTATTACGGTTATTCATAATTGATTGAGATCGATAACTTGAATAATTTTTTTTATCAGTTTATTGATAATAGTTTATTGGTTTCGCGATTTCGGTAATAATTTTAATAAATGATTTGATATTTTTTTCTTAATGGATTAACTGATATGGAGAGTAAGTTAATAAATCATGTTTATACCATTAAGGATATAGAGTCCTTCGCTTGGGGTTTGGTTTATGTTGTGGTGCATTGCGGCCAGTTAAATAAGGTATTTAATTATATTTTTAGTAGTTTCCTTTATTATTCTAGAATAAAATTTATGTTTCATAACTTCATAGGGATTATGTTTAGCTATAGTTAAATGTCTATAATAGGATTTAGGTTTCCTACTTTCATAAGAATTAGATTTTTAATTGGTGTGATAAAACTCTTATATAAAAGGGCTTTGATCAATAAATCATTAAATTGTATTTTAACCAAAAAAAAAAAAAGATATCAATGTTCTCTCATTCATTTAACTCTAAGGTTTCAATCTCTCTTCAAGAAACTGAAGTTATATGCAAAATAGGTCGATCTAGGAATTCGAACAAAAGATAGGAAAAATCAAAATCAGCTGATTTAGATTTTTCTATTCAACATCTTGTGATTTGATCCTCCTCTAAGAATCCTAACACATTAGTGCTAGAGCTTGAAACAATCATCAATGAGAATCAATCCTAGGTTCCAAAAAGAACGTGTGTTTACAAAAAGCATTAATAGACTCTAAACTTACCAAAATGGAACAACGTGAAGGCGAAAAAGTTGTCCAAGTCACTTAAGAGCAATTTTTTACTTAAAATTGGCTCTACAAAATTAGTAGTCCACGAAATAGAGTCGAATAGTGCTCCGACGACAGACATATCAACAAAATCCTGCTACTAGAAGCAATACACTGTCTATTCAACAGCTCCATCAAATTATCCAACAAGTGATGATTTCTATTCGACAGTACCAATATATGCAAGAATGATTTTTTCTACTTATGAAGACACTAATTACCTATTAATTTGGACGCATTGCTGTGAATTATTTTTTGAAAATCAACATACAACGAAAGCAAAAAAAAAAAGTTGAAGTGGTTGGATTTCACATGTTGGAAGAAGCATAATTATGTATATTATCAGCTTAAATGAGCAAATGACTCAATGAGTTGAGAAGAATTTTAGAAACATTGTTTTCAATTATTTGAACCTCCTAAAAGCAATAACATGATGGGCGAGTTGATCACACTTCGACAGATTGATATATTTAAACTTTATCAACTCAGCTTTAAGAAAAGCTTGCTAGGGATGATGAGCCTATTCTAGAACACTTACACGTGAAAATATTTATGGTGAGATTGGATGAATTAATCAGAATGGATGTGCAGTTGCTCAATCCACATAACTTATCGACGATCACGAGTGTGTCCAATGCCATAAAACAAAAGCAACAACGATACAAAGTAATATTCATGAGAGGACATGACAATAATCTCATACAAGTCTTGGCAGCACAACAAACTCGGCAAAATCTGCTACTAATTTAGTCAGCTCGTTTACCTATACTAATATTTATA